GATGTATGCTTTCAGCAACTGCTCCAGTACCATGCCCCTGCCATATTCCCACCATTGTGTGCACAGACTTGAACCCCTCTGAAACTGTAAAATCTAAACAAGCTCTTTCTTCTGCAAGTTGCCTGAGTCATAGTGCCTCTTCACAAAAATATAAATTAAGTAAAAAAACCCATAAAATTTACATTACTAAAGAGATACAAAAATTGAAAATATTGACTATCCATGGAAATGAATGTAATCACTCTTTCCCTGCCATATTATTGGCTTATGTGCACCAAGCTTATTCAGCATTTCATGTAGCATCAAATCCATTGTTGTTTTGATTCTATACCTTCTTCTATAGATTTTTCTCAACTGTGCTTTTTCTATATTTTTACCAGTCAGAATAATTTTCATAGCCAATATAGTTCAAAAAAGTTATAGTCACACAGGGCCATATGCTCCCAGAGTGAGTATTTTTCTGAAGAGACTAAAGATTGAGCTAAATCTCACACTTTGTGAACAAGTACAAATGACATGTCTGTGGATTAGCAGTGTGCTCTTAACAATAGAGCCACTGTCAAGTCCCCACAGCTTTTGAAGTGTGTATTCACTAAGGAATGGCTGTGATTGATAAATGCTGTAAGACGGCCAAAAGGATCCGAGTTTAGTTCCCAACACCTATGCTGAGCGGTTCACAACCCACTTTAATGCCAAAGCAAGGAAAATCCAATGTCTCTAACTCCTAAATGCACCTGCAGTCATTAATACTCTCTCTCTCTCTCTCTCTCTCTCTCTCTCTCTCTCTCTCTCTCTCTCTCTCTCTCTCTCTCTCACACACACACACACACACACACAAACATACAAACACCATTAAATATAAAATATAGTAGTATTTTTAAAGTTGTGACTTCCATCATAAAGTTCTGGTTCCATTCATGATTTCTGTCACCAAAGGTCTCCTTTTTCTAATAACAGCAGCCCCCTACTGCTTGAAGCAAGATTTATAATCTCTCCATGTGCTGACATAGTCAAAATCCTTATTCACTGAACATCACTGAATGAAGTAGGTAAATACAGACTCTGCCTATGTCATAGGAGGCTAAGGTTTTCTTTTTATTCCTAGTGTCTTTTGATTTTCTGAATTTCTTCACTGCCAACAAAAAAACCTATGTGTTTCTGAGTACAAAGTGAAACTTCACAAATTTAGGAGGCAGAGAGGAGGTACCAGACATTGTCTTCTGAAAACCATCATTGAACAGGGATGGTGAAAGACACTGGGTACTGTGTAGATGGAAACAGAAAAAAAAAACAAGAGCAAGTGCATGGTACATGGTACATAAGTGACCATCTCTGCAATACATCTCAGAAGCTAAAGATGCTGTGTAACCTATCACCAAACAACAAAATGCAATCATGAAATTCATTGCAACTAATAGTAAGTATACAGCTGCAATCTTTAAGGTCTTAAGTATTTAATGACTTGTCATTACCACATTTGTCTCCAATAAAAGATTCTTGCTTCCATCTAGCCATAAATAATTTAATCCTGCAGATTCTTTCTATATATTTGTCTGCTAGGACCACAGCTGTGTTAAATCTTTTCACTGAGTTATTCTAGTATCCAAACTTGAAAGGGACATTTGAGTGCAAATTCTTTAATAGGAAATATAGGCACTAATGAAAGAGGGGTGATAGAGGGCCCATAAAGGGTATGAAGACACAGTGGCTCTTTCATACTGCTGACAAGAGTGGAAATTAGTAAGAGCATCTTCAAGAGCAATGTGACAACCACAAGCAGGTTTTATAACATTTATTCATTTACATGTCTGTGCACATATAAGAGTGCATGGAGGAATCAGAAGACAACGTGGCAGTCAGTTTTCCCTGTCCACCACTTGAATTCCAGGGACTAAAGTCAGGTTTACAGGGTTGTTAACAAACCCCCTTATTCAATCAGCTATCTTGATGAACCTCATGAGAATATATATATCAGAGCAAACCACTGAGTGTATAAATCTCTTCCTCTAAACAGGAAAATAGTTAGAATTATATTCCTTGTAGGGTCTTTGTGATAAAAGCATGGAAATTCTTCCTAGAACAGAGAGTTAAAAAAATCTCATCTCCTTCACGGAAAGCCTAGGTTGCTTTTCTAACTGTCTTCTAGAAACCAGGTAAAGATGAAGGTCAACTGCATCACCATGAACACTGCTGAAGCAGCATGAATCTGGTTCATAAGCTGGACCGGGACTGCGAAGGAATCATGGATACTTATTGTATCTCAATGACTGTTGTAGCTGTGACAGTAAGTATTGGTTTCTGTTTGCAACAAACTCCTTCTAAGTCTGTGTGGCCTGTGGGTCTTGGTCCTTCTTGGCTGAACACTGACTTGGGAGAAAAGGTGGCAAAGGTGAATAAAGGAAGGCTGAGCTCTGCAGAGGGGAGAAGCACTACCTTGGAAACATGACTGGTGGTGACTATTGGCCTTTGTGAACCTGACTTCTGACTGAGACTTCTATCACTTCTGTTGGCACTGCCCCACCCAATTACCCATCCAAAGTGACATATTACCTATCCCTGAATTGAGAAGATGTACAGCAGTTAAAAACACTGAAAGAAATTGCTACCCATTTCCATGTCTCTGAATTATTTTAGTAAAAACAGCAAACCTCACAATCATACATGCGATATTTTATTACTGACATATATTTTAAAATCACAGAGTTACATTATATTCACATACACATATATATTAGAAATGCAAATTTGGGAAAAGTGATGAAAGGAAATAACAATGAGGAGAAAAGCAAGAACAATTGCAACTTAATTGGTAAATGTTTTCAATTTTAAGGGAAATTTTATATTTGATTATAACTATATTAATTTAGATAAATACACTAAAAGAATGTCATAATTTCTCAAAAAGCAAATATAGCTGTCTAAAGCTTTGGGACTTTCCACTTTCTTATTTGTGCATTTCTGGGACATTGGTCACACTTACTGAAGAAGAAATAATACTGCAATCCTCACACATGATCGTGTGCTTCAGTTGTACAAACAGAATTTCTGTGAGGTCACAGCTGCTCTTGCTCCAGCCCTGATCAGTGAGCAGCAGAAAGGAAACGCTTTGGTGAGACAGCCTGCTTCCCATGATAGTCTGTGTCAAATGAACCTACAACATGGGTGATGAGAGGCTGCAATCTTGGATGTAACCCCTTGCAACTGCACAAGAATCCTCATCCCAATCTCTCTATAAACTCCAGGTATCCCCTTCTTCCTGGCAGACCCCCATTTCCCATGAGAGAGCATCTGCCCCTCACGGAAATAGTTTCATCTGTTGAGGTCAGACTCTGGTTCTTCCCTGCCTTCTGTGTCTTTACTCTGTGCTCACAATCTAAGAAAGCAGCCATGGGCTGGAGCAAGGACGGTATCACAGCTCCCATTCCAGTTGTTGTGACAAAAGAGCCACCCTGAGCATGATCACTCAGAGGGAAGAGAATTCATTTGACCTGACAATTCCAGGTTACAGTCCTTCATAGTGTGGAAGTCACTGCAGCAGAAGCTTGAGTGAACTTGTCGCATCGCACCCATAATCAGGAACAAAGAGCCCAGAATGCTTTTGTGCCAGGCTCTACTCACTCTCTCCATTCTACTCAGTGTGCAGGGCCAAACTCTGGAAATGGTGCTGCCATGCTCAAACTGTGTCTTCCTAGGCCAACCAGATGAGTCCTTGCCACAGACCGCTCAGGGGAGCCACTCAGACCGTGGGAGAAGAAGGGTCTTGGTAACAGGAAGGCACAAGTTCAGCGAATGACAGAAAGACACAACACAAAAGAGAGTGGTTGGAATCTGCTGCAATTTTACTGAATTCATGTTTTCATTATATAGTATTCAATCAAAGAACAAATCAGAAGGTCATGTATCATTGGCTGGCACAGTATGAAAGCTTCTTTTAGTCACATCAACGATATTTAAGAAAAGTATATTATCAGGAATAGGTGTTAGACATAAAGCATCCTTAGAAGAGGAAATCTTGTCCTTGGGAATGTAAACCTCAGATAAGTGGTTTCATCTTATGAACAGAAAGTTTCTGTCTCATTATCGCTATTATGGCCCTTCCTCTTTCTAATCCTTTCTTCATTTCATCTAGTGACCAAATATACCTAATAAGTTCTCTGCACCTGCTGAAGTATACTTTTTTGTACCTTCTTATGCAACAGACACTATGGGGGTTGGGATCTAGCAAGTCTATCCATAAAGTTCAACGTATACTATAACAGTCTTTGTCCATCAACATTAACCCATCTATTCCCTTGCTCATCATGCACCTTGTGTATGACAAAGGTTCTGCTGTAGTCTTTTGTGCTTTCCTATTTCAGAGCTGTTCCTGAAGAGATAATCCTTGTCTTGTAGATATATAGAATATCATTATTATAAAAGAGATTGTGCAAAGCCCATATCCCACTTAGCCAGCTACTTGAGAAACCCGTCTATGCCTCAAGGGCGGCCAATACCAGGCTGTCTGCTATTGACCTCCAGGAAGCCTACTCCCATAGGACACACAGCTCCCATCTGGCATAATGACATATGTCATGTCACACAGACGACACTGGAGTTGGTGTGGCAAGTCCTTATTCAGATTCTTTTCAGTCTGAAGAGGGAAGAAGTCAACACTTCTCCCTCTTGTGCACACTACAGAGGCATCTGCTACAGTCAATGTTTATGTGGAACAGAGATGTGACTTCATGTCTCTTGCAGATCATCAGTCAGTAGAAAATGCAGTCTACAAAACAACCATCATGGAAGGAACCGTGTCTCAGTCATTTTATGCTTTTTATCCTGTTATGTCACCTTTCATGTGATTCATGACCAAATGTCTATACAGCATAGATAGGGCACCAATAGCAGAACAAAGTAATGATTTCAGAGAAGTCCAACTTGAAGAAGTAAAGAGTTTATTTAGGTTACTTATAGGAGGATGGATGATCTAAACTCAGTCAGCTGCAGTCCTCCCCAGCATCTTACAGGTTTGTGTTCAGCTCCCCCTGCAGGCTCAGACACTGTGCACTCAGAGCACAGAAGTACACAGCCGAGTCGCTCCAGCGCACAGAGGTTTTCTTCAGGTGGAAGGAAGAGTTACTCTTCTGAAAGTTAGCCTCGAAGCCATTTATTCCGTGAACCACAGAGCTTCCTGAACGGTAGCTGAGGAGAAGCTGGAGGCCGTGGCCAGGGTGCTGCATGTACCAGAAGAGGTAAGGAGCTCCACTGTAGGAATAGTTGCATCTGAGCTCCACCAAGTTTCCTTCAAAGACAGTGACATGGGCATCCAGCTGTGTAACTGACTGTGCTTGGACATCTCCTGCAAAATCAGTGATTAACTTCATGGAGAAAGATAGTTTAACTAAAATTCAAGTGAGAAAAGCAGTGAATCGTGTATATATCTACAAACAATTAGGATATTTTGCTTACCCATGAAAAACGGTATCCCCAGGAATGAAATGATGACTGGAAACATGGCTGCGCACTGGAAACACCACTAGTGCCTTTCTGGAATAGCTTGTCACATGCAAAAAAAAAAAAATGGTTGCACTTCCCAGTTCTTGAAGACAAAGGGCAAAATGTTGTTTATACACCTTCCTTGTTTAAATGAATGAAAAAAAATACAAAAAAAAACTGTAGATGAGATCCTAATCCTGAGAACTTTCTCCCTCTGACTGTCTTTACTTCTTCACTTATCAGATGGTCTAAGGACTCAGTCAGATACAGGGAGCAACTGAGTTGAAAGTGCGGATCAACTGCAGAAATGAAGGAGGCAGCAAGTCTGTGCAATGTTGCCCTCTGGTGGCCAGTGAAGGATAAAAGTTCTGAAGCAAATCCGTGTGTTCTGTCTAGGGAACAACTCATATTTCTAAGCTAATCTGTGCTGTGTTGAGTCTTAACCTAATACAAAATGGACCATACATAATTGAAAGACATTTTTCTTTAGAAAAAATGATCATATGGGAAAACAATTAAATTAGAAGGTCATTACAACTTGAGTATAAAAGCATAAACTGCAAGCAGCCCTGCCACCACCGCTGCCTGAAGCAGTCAAAAGAAACTGGATCTCTAAAGTGTGTTTTGTTGAATCCTGGAAGCCAGAGAAAACTCTACCTTCTCCAGCATTTCCTCATTAGCATTTTTTTTTTTTGCAGAGAGCTAGAATAAAAAAATCAATGTGAAGTTCAGTCGTATCTTTTTGGTTAGATGGTTCTTTGTTCTGAGAAGTCCTTCCCAATTTCTACCCCTTACTCTCCCCCCTCTCTCCTCCATTTCTTCCTCACCTCTCTACTCCCAGCTCACCTCTTGTTTAACTCAGAACAAACAAATCATTAGCAATGTGTTTGCCTGCAGATTCCTTCTTAGAGAAGTCTATGCCTGCTCTTAAAACGCACGCCTTTAATCCCAGCACTCGGGAGGCAGAGGCAAGGCGGATCTCTGGGAGTTCGAGGCCAGCCTGGTCTACAAGAGTTAGTTCCAGGACAGACACCAAAGCTACAGAGAAACTGTGTCTCAAAAAACAAAAAAACAAAAAAAAATTCAGAATCAGTGCTCTCTCACTGTGCCCCTACCATGGCCATCACCTATGCAGACATCTCTGCTGTCATTGAGCTTCCAATCAAGGGGAGTTCCAGTAGGATATAAAGATAGTGACTTTGATGAAATGGAAAAACAAAAAGGACACATAAAATACTGGTTTCAAATGTTAATTCGTCTCTTAAAAATGAAACAAACATCCATTTCAAGCAGAAGACACTCCACCTGGAGCCTTTCTTCTTGGAAGAACTGGGCTTTGGGCAAAGATGCCCATACCTCAACCACTGACAGAGATACAGAGTATCTGTAAATGGAGAAAACAGGACTGTCATATCCTGCCAAGGCAGGGTAAGATAGGTTTCAAAAGTTTCTTGACTTTGAAAATCATATGTCAGTTATGTTAGGCCTTAGCCAAAGTTGGTTGCTTCAAAATTGCAAATGAGGCTTTGGGTGACTGCTCAGGTAGTCAGTTTTCTCTGTTATTTGTTTCTCATTTTGGAAGTTTCTTGACTGCACTTCCTGTTTACTCAAGTAATATTGTTTCCCTTCTCAGATCTTTGATGGAGTTAAAGATTAGATAATTGTAGTTACCTTTTTCATTAATTAGACAAGCTTATTTTCAATACATTATTTAGACTCCTTAAAATAGAATGCTTAGTAAAACTTTTGTTATGCATTCCTTGCTTAATATTGTTTACTGTTTGTAATTTTATATTTGGTATCTATTCTTATTATATATAGTCGTATTGAATTTAGATTGATCTTGTTTAGACAAAAGGGGGAGATGATGGGGAAACTCTGTCAACCAATCACATCTAATTAAGGCGTGGAAACTTGGACCCCAGGAAGAAAAACTTGGAGGACCCAGATGTGCTCTCTCTCTGCGCGGTGCCCACCGGACATATAAGAAGTCGGGGCTCCCACTCTTGTAGCATGAGTTTTCCCCTTATAACCATTAAAATGCAATTGCTATTCTTGAGCTGGCCTGGGTATTTATTGTGACGATCAAATCCCAAACAAAATGGACACATAAAATACTAGTTTCAAATGTTAATTCTTTACTTAAAAATGAGACAAACTTATCTATTTCAAGCAGAACTGTGAAGATTCAGTGATTTTAGATAATCACTAATGATAGTGCTGTATGGAGAAAAGACGGCAAAACTCCAGCATCATTTGGTCTGGAAAGAACTGAGATGACACCCCATCAAAGAAACAGTAGACTATAAACCATGATAACAGCTTGACCTAGACACGTTAGTATCCAGCAGTTTTAAGTGGGCAGAAGCTAGGTAGTCTGATGAAGGTAGTGTTGATTGCAGTCAATAGCCATGGCATTCTTCTGATAGAGAAGATTTTTTCTTCCCTCTTCACCTTTAAGACATCTGGGACTAAAAGATTAGCTGTTGAGTCAGAACGAGTAGTATTCTGAGATAAAGGATTCATTTTACAATGAATAAAGAGTTCTTGGTTAAGAAGAGATGATATTCTCTGATTGTGTCTTTAATAAAATAATCATAAAATGCACGAAGCAAAAATAGAGAAAATTAAAATAAGATAAATCTACAATCAGAGTTAAAGATTACTTACTCCCAAGTAGCTAATTTGACAAGGTAAAAATTTACACTAGTTTAGACCAACCAATTAGACCAAATTGACATCTCTAGTAATCATTGCACTCACCAATGCAATGTGCTTTTTCCAAGGGTACAAGCAATACCCTCTTAGACAGACCATACACTCAGACAGTCTAAAGTACACCAATGTTGTAGGAGAGCACACTTGTTCATCTCGGCCACCTGGCAAACTTAGGCCCGAAATAGCCACACAGAAATTATAATAATTATTCACTGATTGACCCATTAGCTCTAAGTTCTTATTGGTTAACTCTTACATTAATTTAACTCATTTCTATTAATCTGTGTTTTACCACGAGGTTATGACCTACCAGCAAAGTTTCAGCATGTCTATCTCTGGTGGCGAAACCATGGCATCTCTTGCGCTGACTCTGCTTTCTTTCTCCCAGCATGACATTTAGTTTTCCCAGCCTACCTAAGTTCTGCCCTATCAACAGGCTCAAAACAGTTTCTCTATTAACCAATAAAACAACACAAAGACAGAAGGACCCCCTACAGCATTTTTCCTTTTCTGTTTAAACAAAAAGGAAGGCTTTAACTATAACATAGTAAAATTACATATAACAAAATAGTTATCAAGCAAGAATTATAGTTACAATATTTATATCTATTTTATCTCTTATCATAACTAAGGAAAACTATAACTATAAATTCTTAAACTCCATCAAAGACTCCAGAAGGATATAATATTACTTATGTAAAATGGAAGTGCATTGTAAGCAACTTCCAAAACTCTAGAATTGACAGAGACATCTCAGTGCCTAGAGACTTACCCAAAGTTCTTCTGTACCATTGGGGTATCCATCTTCAGCCTACAAGCCCATAGTATCCAGCAGACTTTTCCATGAAGTAGGAAATTTCAAAGACAGGTCTGCCTTTATTGGCATTTTGACGGTCACTTTCTTCTGTATCCTGCAGAATGTCTTACAAAATCTTTCATGAAGCAGGAACCCCAAAGGACCATCTCACCTTTAGGCAAGTTCAGCAGTCATCTCTCTGTGCTCCTCCATGTCCAGTTAAGTAGTCCAGGAAAGAGTGGTTTCTTGCCCAAATTGCTAAGCAGCCTCTTTGATGCCCATCTTCCTCTTGAAGTAATTTGGTGCTGCTAGGAGCATACATGTCTCACTGTCATGAAAAGTCCTAAGTTATTAAAAATACTTTAAATGACATATTCTGAAGGTCTGAAAGATATGAACAATATCTAGCCATCTGAACTACATTTCTGTACATCTAGAAAATCTAACTAACATGACTACAAGCTGAACTATTATAGATGATTATCTAGTAACCTATATTTCTTAATTATACAATACATTTTTAAATGAACTATATAATCACAATACCTTAATTAAAAGCAGAAATATACATATAACAAAATTGCTCTCAAATTTGTATCAATAAACCAAGATCCATACCAATGCAAATTATTCATATCTATAGCATAACCGCTTTTAACTGTAAAAAAAATATAAACAATATTTGGTAATATGGGCATAGTTCTGTACGTACTGTTTCCTGCCGTTTGAGGGTGCTGTTAATAAGGTCTCTCATGGTGTATCCTGTGTGTTAGGTTCATCTCAGTCAGCAGTTGGGTGAAGTAATTTTCTGAGGCTGTTTATGGCAACCTTTCAGGAGGCTTTGGTCCATGAAACCATATTTGCCTAGAAGCAATCCAAAGGGGTGGGGCTGGGGATGGTGTGGGGAAAGGGGAGAGGGAAGAGAGAAGGGAAAAGGGGAGGGTTGGGGAGAGCTTGGGGGAGTGGGATGGTTGAATGGAGAAACGATGGATATGGGAGCAGGGAAGATGATATCTTATTTAAGGGAGCCATTTTAGGGTTGGTAAGAGGCTTAGTTCTAGAGGGGTTCCCAGGTGTCCATGGGGGTGTCCCCAGTTAGGACCCTGGGCAGTGGAGGAGAGAGTGCCTGAACTGGCCTTGCCCCATAGTTAGACTGATGATTATCTTGAATATCACCATAGAACCTTCATCAGGCAAAGGATGGAGACAGAGACAGAGACCCACATGGGAGCACTGGACTGAGCTCCCATGGTCCAGTTGAAGAGCTAAAGGAGGGAGAATATAAACAAGGACATCAGGACCATGAGGGGTTGGTTCACCCACTGAGACAATGTGCCTGATCTAATGGGAGCTTACCAAAGTCATTTGGACTGGGACTGAATGAGCACAGAATCACACTGGATCTTCTGATTGTCGCTGACAATTGGGGCAGACTGAGAAGCCAATGATAATGGTACTGGGATTTGTCACTACTGCATGTACTGTCTTTTGGGGATCCTAATCTATTTGGATGCATATCTTCCTAAGCCTGGAAGGAGGGGGGAGGGCTTTGGACTTCCTGCAGGGCAGGGTACCATGCCTTCCCTTAAGACTGGGGGGGGAGAGGA